TTACCTTTTTCCAGATAAATCACTGGACGTGTTTTCCTTTAGAAGATCTGACTGACAACAACAGAGAACTTTCACATCCACCTGGAAGTGGCAGTTGCGATGTCTGTGGAGAGCTTTCTGCTTGGACCGGTTTGTGTCTGTACTAGGGTGGGGTGATGAAGTTTTGAAATAGTTACCGGAGTTTCGGTAGTTCGAATGCACTGTAGCGTTAAATGCTTTGTGTTTACATTCTTTCTAGATACTTTAAAATGTTAGTGAACACCCCTAAATTGATATATAGTATGGTTGGTTGTGACTTTGACTTAAAATACCGTATCTGATGTAACTCGGTCCTTCCAGTATTTCATGGAACTACACCCGCAGCGTTTGCATGGTGCAGATAGATACTGTCCACTCATTTATTTGGGCAGCGTGCAAACTCAGTGCCACCTGCTGGCCGCTTTTCATATTGCATGTCTGTGGATCATTGACGTGACGCTTATGTTTTGACTACTTATTATTTTAAACGACTTATTATTGAATCAAACATTAAATGCTAAACCAAAAAAATCAAGAAAATGCACATCTTATATGTTTAGCATTTTTCGTTTTTCTCTCCTTTCTTTCTCTTTCTTACTTTTTCTTCTTTCTTTCTTGGTTTTATTAATAATCCTTTTTTTTTTTCATTTTCCTTAAAAACAAGCAGTGAATCGATTTTGTTATAATAATATAATATTTGTATTTAATAGTATGATATTTGAAGAATTTGTCTTTCATTTAACAGGACAACCATACATGTATTCCCAGGATAGATAGATAGATAGATAGATAGATAGATAGATAGATAGATAGATAGATAGATAGATAGATAGATAGATAGATAGATAGATAGATAGATAGAACATAATTTAATCAGTTTATGTTCATAAACTGCATAAACCTTAAGAAAACATACTGACATGAAAAGTATTAATCTATACAAGTTATTTCTTTATTTAGAAAATCAAGTTAGCACACGTTTAAACTAGGTTTTTAAAGAGTTACATAAGAGCTATTATTATTATTATTCAACTTGGGCATTTTTATCTTTCACTGACCCACGCGTAAACCTACAGAATGTTGTTTTAGGCTATTCCTATAAACTTAAAGAGCTATTCCATGACTTCATAAGTGTATGAAAATGGCTGTTTTTGCATGTCAATTTCCTGGTCTATATGTTTAATAAACCCTTAAACTAGATAATGGGTCAAATATAAGCAACTTCTACATTCTGAAGTGTCATGTGCACTGACTGTGTGTTTCTCAGAGATGCAGTATGAAGGCACATAGAGTGAGTATTTGAGGGTACAATGAGGTTTTTAATAAAGCGGACAGATTCTAATGTTTGGGACTTCACATGTGGACAAAGTCTACTCAAATTCAGAGAACTGGTCACTTCAGTTTGCACAGAATAAGCGAGAGAACCTATGTTACACAATAAAAGCCAATATCTTTACTTTAGTGAATGCAGAATACAAATTTATACAACAATCTCTAGCATAATATCTTAGTCATTCAATAAAAAGTTCACTAGAATATTTATTGTATAATGAAGATAAAACAACACATTCAAGGGAAATATAATGCAGATTAACTTAAAGTTCTCTCTCATGTTTTACTCATTTTTTTGTTGTTTTTTTTCCTTTTTGAAACATCTTGTTTCAGTTATGGCAACAAAGTCCAGCTTGTGCCGCCAAACGGTTTGAGCATCCAAACCGCAAACAGCTTCTTGAAGTGAACTAGTAACTACAAACAATTACCAAATACATCATTCTGATTTAGAAAAAGCCATAAAGCAAAGCAGTGTACTCTTGCACAGCAAAGTGAAGAAAGTACGCAACAAACAATTGTTGTCTCCTCTTTATCCCTTCCTTTCACATTCAACAGTTTGTGACACAGCACTCCGCACCAAAGGAACAGCCTCCTCTCTTCAGATCTCTTATGTATTTCTCATGTGCATTTATAGGGACCCCTGATGTGAGGGTGATTTTGTTTTGATGAAGTCAAAATGTGATGAGTGATATCATATTTGATTCCGAACACCAGCAACTCTTTGGAATAAGGCTCTAATTGTGCATGTAGCAGAGAAACTCCCTGATTCCTAATCAAGCACTAATGTTGAGTGTTTGTTTGTGTGTGCATTCATTGCAGTTTGGAAATCCTGCATGTTTTTAGTCCACAGTGCTTTCATAACACTGGGCTGGCATTATTGCTTGTCTACCCTGAAAAGCTTCGATTGCGATCAACTTTAAATGATTTTGACAGACATCATAAAACTTTCTAATGGGCGTTTCAATTCAGCTGAGACAACAAAGCTTGTACATCTGAGATTAAATCTAAAACTATACCTAAAGCAGTGTTTGCATGGCTCTTGTGGTTTTCATATTTAGTCAGTGTGCCTTTATGCATAACTGTAAAAAGATAGTTCACCTAAAAATGAGAATTCGATCATCATCATTTTGTTTAAAACCAGTTTTAATGAATGTTTCATTCAGCGAACATCAATGTGGTCCAATGTTGTTTCTATTCAGTTCCAAAAAATTAAATAAAGTCATACAAGTTTGGAACGACTGAGTAAATATTGACAGAATTTTCATTTTTGGGTGAGCTATCACTTTAATATGCAAGCACTTAAGGACAAAGGGTTAACAGTCGTTTTCTCACCTGCTCAATAAAGAGCACTTCATTTATGAACTAGGCAACATTGTGTAATTGATGGACATGTGATAGTATAATATGCATGATTGATTTTTTCTATCTTAATTAATTATTTTTTTATTATCATTAAAGAGTTAGTTCACCCAAAAATGAAAATGAAATATCTGTCATAATTTATTCAGCCCTAAGTTATTCCTGTATGAATGTCTTTCTTCTGTTAAACTTAAACTATTTTGAAGAATGTGGGTAGCCAAACAGTTAATAGTCCCCACTGACTTCCATAGTATGGAAAATAAATAGCAATGTTGACCATCAACTGTTTGGTTACACACATTCTTCAAAATGTCTTTGTGTTCAGCAGATGAAAGAAATTCATACAGGTTTAGAACTTGAAGGTGTGCAAATGACAGAATTCTCATATTTGGGTGAACTATCCCTTTAAAAATTCCACTTTTAATGTGAATGCTTTGTGTTCCTGGCTATGTGTGGGTTGGGGACTGCATAGATTAATATCAGCTTATTGCCAGTTGCTGTGGTGCTCAAGAGGGCAGGGAGGTATGTGCACACTGACCGAATACATAACAAATCTAAAGAGGAAAGCGTCCAATAGCAAACTTGAATATACAAACTTTTTGTGCAATCCAGTAGAGAGATCATGTCCAAGTCAGTTTGCATTGTCTAGTATTTCCATCTTTAGCTGTTGAATCCCCTGACGCTTTGCCACCTGAGGGGCAGTGAGGTGTGATGCAAGCCGGAGGCCACTGCTACCAGATGTTTGTGCCACGCAAACAAACAGCCACACATGAAGAGATATGCACACAAAGAGCAAAATGCGACGGCGGAGAGAGCTACAGCACCCCCTCTTGTCCAGCAATACAGAACATTGCGATTGGTGCCTCCTTAAGGTGTCTACTTTACATTAGGAAATCTGTAGATGAGCCAATTCACAAAATAACTGGAAAGGTATTCTGTTACATAGTATGCATGTATGTATTAGGGTTCCCTAAAGTTATGGTATTTACAATATATGAGGGATTTGGTTTAAATGAATTTAGGGTTTGAAAGAAATGAGCTTTTTATACAAACTGGGGGAATGTCTGAGACATTGTAAAGAGAAATGTGTCTTCTACTGGATATCAATGAATAGTGCATCTAAGCCGTGATGGGTTAAAGTAGGCAGTGTATTCAGCAGCTGCAGGCTAATCCCTCACAAAACAGTTGTAAGAAATGCAACCATATTTTTTTCTTAGCACGACGAGTATCGTTACAAAACAAAATAAAAGACAGCTGAGCTTGAATCATACAGCTCTGTTGTTACAATTTCTTATGGACAGACATTCACCACCATTAAAGGGTAAACGACCCAAAAATGACCTTCTTGGAAAAGAAAAAAAAAAGAAAAAACACTTTGATTATTACCAATAATAGTCAGATTTGAAGAAAGTACAGTATAGTTAACAAAATAGTAAATATTAACCAGTGAATACTCTACTTAATAAGGATCTCGCCTTGTAAACTTGGCAGTAATCCACAAAAATATACTTTTTTCTTGAATCTGGTGAAGGTACAATACATACGTACTTACACCAAAAGTGATATATATTAAAGTTGCTATGTACATAACAAAAGAAAAAGGTTTGGCTCAAATCTAATTTACAAACAGAACAGCAAGTGTTCATGGCTTTAGATATCATTTCAAGATCTGCTTTGCATGTTAATCGTTTTCCAATGCTTGTAACAACGCACACTATGACAGAACTAATATGAAACAAACATCAAGAGAGAAATGCTGAAAATTCCCAACCTACAGTACGACAAAATTACATAGAGGCTTTGGCTTGCGTTACCATTGAGTTGTTGGAGCTGCATGAATGTAAAATGACTTGCTATCGTCTCTAAGTTGACTGGGCTACCTGTTCTTTTCCCATTTGTTAAAAACGCAAATAAAAAGGACTGAAAATGTAATCAACGACTATTATTAATTTAGAGACATTTTCATTTCTTTCACTTAATGTCTTAACTGAGGTGAAATGTGATCTCGTTTTAGATACAAGCCATTCCTCGTAAAACTGATCCAAATCTATCATCAAATACCTTAAAATAAATTAATAAGTGACATACTTCATATAAGGGCGAGTGCAGATACAGATTGTTTAATACATGAGCCCAGCAGGCAGGAGCCACCCCTAAACTTTCTTTGATTGTTTGCAAATTGAAAAAACAGCTACAAGTGTCAAACTGCACCAGTGATGACAAAAATCGAAAAAATTCTTCATACATTGGACTCTCGCACAATGCAATTTGCATCAAGTACCTGATAACACCTTGTTTTTTGTTTTGTTTTTGAGTACACCATTCATTCTGACTGCTTGACTTTTTGATTTTCCCTCTCTCCACTCATCTGCTTAATTTCGATATGCCAGGACATTTTCGATTTCTTTCCCCATCCACCTACTTACAAAAAAAGTGAAATGACGTTAAATTATAACAATAGAATAATAACAATAATGACCCTCCCTGCTGTCACTCCTCTCTCCCTTTCCCCCTGCCCAGCCCTGCATGTGACTGACTGACTGGCTGTCAGGCTCCGGACAGCTTTATGTCACCCAGGTGTCCATGCGCATGCGCTTGACCGTGGGGCTCTCCCTCTCTTCGGCCCCAGAGGCCGGGGGTCGACCCAGACCGAGTGGGGAGTGGAAATCAGGCCGGTGATCCTCTCGGTCACTTCCGTCGTATGAGGAGCAAGAGGAGCTGAGGCTGTCGACAGGTGAACGGCCCATGTCTGGACGGCCAGAGGGAGGCTGCTGCTGCTGCTGCTGGGGTGGGAAGCCGGACGGGGTGATACGCTCACGTGGAGGAGAGATGGGCTCAGATTTAATGTTGACATTCTGGCTGGTGTTGATGGAGAGATTTGAGCCCTGAGGTAAGTGACCTCCACCTCTGAACAAAGAGAGAAAATTACAAAATGAAAAATTAGTACGAGTGCACAAACTGTCTGTGGACTGCAGAAATCCCTGAACTCAGCAGCTACTATGTGACGCTAACACAGAGACCCAGATACCCCAATAATATTATCCCACCCTCCATCTGTTTACTCAGTGGCGCTTACAGCAATAACAGCACCTGAATCATTTTAGAGGGTGGTATCTAATTAGAGCATGCCTGGCAGAATGTGACGAAAACAGTTCACTAATGTTTTGATGGCACAACCACCGCGTTTAAATAAAAGCTTTCATTCACAGGCTCTGGAAACATACAATTTTAGTGGTTTTAGTCTGGTTTTTCTTTTTCTTTTTTCTGTCTTTGGGTCATGCACTCTGCTGTTACAGAGAAACTATACAGACGTGTACTTATATAAATGTATATCTATCTATCTAGAGAAAAAAAACTCTTTTAGGACCAGTAAGATTTATTAAATGTTGACATTATTTTCATAACAAATAATCATGTTGTCCCTGTCATAATGTGTCTTGCTATCTTACTTTTTTATCTTTTCTTTTTATGTAATTTTTTATGTAATTCTCATTATTCTATTCATGATTCTATTCAAATCTGTATAAACACTAACATGACATAAATACTTATTACATTTTCTAATGATTTTAATAATCAAAAAAAAAAGGTTTCATAAAAAGTGTCATTTTTGGGCTTCCATGCTGCAAAAAAATATTTTCTCACTAAATATCTTTAAAAATAAGATACATTTACTTGCACAATGACATAAGCTATTAATAATGTGGCATAAATGTAACAAAAATCAGCCAAACAGATAGTCCCACCCTAACCTCATGCCACTGGTTTTTCTCTAATATTATAACATAAAAAATACTTCAGTTTTAAGCAAAATATGACTGTATATTCTTTTCTTTTTCTTTTTAGTGCAATATGGCCTGGACATCAATCCATCCTTCCATTACACTTTCTAGAGAGAAAAAAAGAAAGCATATGGCAACTAAGAATGCATTTGACCCCATGCCTGGGCACATTAGTTAGTGTTCTTCAAACCTGTGTGTGTGTGTGTGTGTGTGTGTGTGTGTGGCCGTGCACATCTATGTTACTCACACCAGCGAGCTGAGAGCTGCCTGGCCCAGTTGATGCTGTTGCCATGCCGACACTGAGCCTATAGAGAGCCCTGGAGAGCCAAAGCCTTGCAGAGAGGAGAGCTCAGCACTGCTCAGGGAGTATTCTAGAGCAAAACAACAAAACAACATTCAACAACAGAGTTTGAGTCAATCAAACACATATGCACTCACACAGTCGAGCGTTTCAAGTATTTTTATTATGCATTGAGCTCGGAGCTGGATGGTGCTATGAATTGTAGGGTCTTCCTCTTTTTTATTAAGCCACTCACTCAGAGAAGCATTAAATTAAATCAAATAATGAATGAATGCATACATTATAAAGCAAATAATTACTTTTTATACTCACCAGAGTTGTAGGCAGTGGGCATGCTCGAGTAGACCAGGCCTTGTGGTGGCAGACTCGGGGTGGTGATGGAGACCACCGGTGTGGCCAGAGACTGGGAACTGCTTATCCTCTGGGTGTTCTGTACAAAAAGCCAAATGCAGCAAATTAATGAGATCCCACCACGGACATACATGCATACTCTTAACCAGTGATGGGCAAACTTGGCCCTCTCAGGCCACTTTCCTGCAGAGATTTGATCCAACCCTGATAAAACTCACCTGCCTGTAACCTACTAGTAGTCTTGAAGACAATGATTAGCTGGTTCAGGTGTGTTTGATTAGGGTTGGAGCTAAACTCTGAAGGAAAGTGGCCTGAAAGGGCCAAGTTTGCCCACCCCTGCTCTAAACAAACCATGTAAAGCATTGTCGTCAGAATAGTGTGATTTGGTGGAAATTATGTGGTAATACCATTTTGCACCAAAAAGAGGCGCTGCAGATTCATTCTAGTTAGAAATCGAATTGTTTTGCAGGTTGCTGTCAGTTAAACAGCTTTAATTCAGAAGCCACTGGATGATATAAGAAAATCTAATATAAAATATAAGACTACAGAATGGCTTAAAAGCGTGGCACAACTATATATTGTCTATACAAGGTCACTGCACATTTTTGCTAAGGAATATGCAATAACCTGACTTAAGCACATGGATATATAGGGAAATGCACAAACACATTCAAACACTAGAAAACAAAATACCTAGGAAACTCTCTCATGGGACATCTGATTATTCCCAGAGTCTCAAAAATGTTCTGATCAGTAATTTTTTTTTCTGTCGGAACAGTTTCCATGGGAAAAATTGCTCAGAACGTGCTCATTCAGAGCTCTGGGACTTATTGGACATGTCAGTATAGAAATCAAAGATGTTTCTAGTAAAATGCCTTAAGAGAAATATAAATAAATAAACAATTATTGACAGAGTAAGAGTATAGACCTATACAATTATAAGGAAAATGTGGTAGAATTTGCGGAGAAATATTTGAGTTCATACTGAAAAGAGTTCTGATTGCAGACTTAATCTTGATAAATCTGAGCACAGTTTGAGACACAGTTGTGGTCTCTTCTGAAACTCTGAAGAGACATGTCAGATAAATTTAGTCTTTTTCTCAAGAGAAAAATGAGAGGCAGTAGGCTAGAGGAAACATCATAAAGTGCTCTCTATTTAATGTCACTGCTGTTTAGGAGAAATAATTGATATTAACATTACTGATATTAAAGAGATCCAAGTTTATTTACTGGATCCGAAAATGTGTTATCCAAGTACCATCCAGCATGCAGTGAAATTACATACTCACCCCAAGCCAAACGTGTGAAACATGCAGTGCACACACACACACACACACACATGCGCGCACATACATTTGGTCCCCAACATAGGGAATACCAAGTACACTCATACACACACAAACACACACACTCAGAGAAAAAATGGAAATGCATATTCAAATCAGAGCAATTTTGCTCAGTTTTATATTAGCTGAGGAAGATGAATATTCAATCTACATTTGAGAGGGACATCACGTGCAGTCTCTCTCTCAAAAAAATACTATGAGATGTTTCACTTTAGGTTCTTTATAAAATAAATAATAATAATAATATAATGCAGATGCTACAGAACAGTGGTATTAGTTTTAATTTAACGCTGGATTTGTTTCAGTATTGTAAAATGCATTCACATTAGTTTCTTTTTGCTAGTGAAAATATTCTCTGACAGCATTTGGCATTCTCCTCAACTGATGACATAATTTTGGACTCAACTCATTTTACAGACATCATCATAAGTAATCAGAGCCCAGGCCAAAAATCAAGAAACACAAGAGAATAAGAATTTGGGTAATGCTCAAATATGTTGACTGTAATAACATATTTTATGTGGACTGTGTTTCTTAACATTCTGCTTTGATCCATGCTTTTATGTTGCTTCAATATTAAAACTAATACTAGGGTTATTGGTGAGATCTTAGGGAAATATTAAATAATAACTAATGATTGCATCTTTGGGGATTTTATGGATTCATCATTCTCCTTTCTTCGAATACACCCACAACACTCTTCCTTTAGCACAAACACATACACATACTTTTCTGAACATACTGTGGGTCTTTTAAACTTCCTTAAAAAAGACTCAGAACATGCAGTGTGAGTCACACACAATGCAGACCAGACATCCACACAACACTCAAAAGTTCATCCAGTTAATGTTGGGTTTAGTCGATCTTCATCTCAAGCAGTGGAGGCATTTCTCCAAGCTGAGTGTGGCTCTGCTAGTTAAAGTGTCATTTTAAAACCAAACTGAAAGCTTATCAGCCTTCCCAAGGCATTCAGTGAAACTCACCAACTCCATCTCTTCCTCCTCCGACTGCTTCCAACAGAAAAGAGCAGATGATGCTGTCAGTAAAGAGCCAGGTGGGACACCTAAACCTCAGCAGGGTCAACCCACCGTTCTCACCAGGATTTGCCTTTAAACTAACTTATTCAAATTCAGAGACTGAAGCGTGAACTGAACGCTGCCTCAGGTTACTTGCAATAAAAGAGTCAAATTCAAATGAAAAGTAAAATTTGTCGGCACTAAATACACAACGTTTTCATTCCTCATGGCCATGTAGTTGGCCATGTCAGACACAGCAATTAGGTAAATGTAAGACGACTTCCAGTGCAAAATGCTGAACAAAGGGAGAATAATAGTGGGGTTTTTACGTCCTTAGAAGGGGAAAAAAATCATTGAGGGGCTTGACCTCACAGCTAGGATTTTCTTAACCTTTCACCTCAGACACTCATCCATACATGAGCTTGTGTGTCCAATAAATCATTTTGCATCCATTGGCAGAGCCCTCCACTTGCCTTAATTGATTATTTACAAGAAGAGAACAGTAAACACAAGGCTAAATGAGAGGTAAAAATGTAGCTGATAACTCATGAGAATATAATAATTAATGACTATATATATACATTTTAACTTGTATGTAATCATATTTATTTGTAATTTAATAAAATATGTTAAATAATATTTATTTAGATTTTGTATTATTTTTATTATTATTTTATCAATTATTGTTTAAATACAGAATATATATATATATATATATATATATATATATGAACAAATACAACTATTTTTCCAAGCAATAGTAATGTCACTCCAAATTGCAAAACTAGAATTGTTTTCCTGTTCTCTCTCTCTCTCTGTATATTCTTGTATTTTAATTAATTAATTAATAATTTTTTTAATTTCACAAAATAAAACCCTTTGCAATTACGCAAATTACACAAAATATAAAACTTAACAATTGCATTCATTATTAACAATTGCATTCAATAAAATATGAAAAGAAATTAAATTCAGGAAGTAATAACCATTAAAAAGAAAATAAATAGTTGAGTGATAATAGACAATAGATGAAAAACAAATAATAAACTGCCAATAATGTCACATCTCTTACAACTCCAAACCTCTGTTTTTGTTTTTTAGTTTTTTGCAAAAAGTGCTAGTCAATACAATAGTGCAAAGTGCTAGTCAATGCTGTAATCCAAAGTTTCTCTCTATGTGCATTCTCATTCTCATTGAAAGTTCTGTGCAATACTTTTGGGCCAAATGAGAATTTTAGGGTGTTAATTCTTATCTCTTGTCATGTGTATATATCCCTTTGTTCAAAGCCAGCTGACAGTGTAGAGCTGTACAGTATTGAGGACATTGAGCTTTCTTCTCTGTAGTGCCGGGCCAGTGCTGTCTTAATACCAGCACTCAATCAATAACAGTGGGGAGACACGACAAGGGCGACAAGATATTATCTGGCTCACAATCTGGGCTTCTGATTAAGCCTTCATCCCCACTCTGTCACACTGCGATGTGATTAATTTAATGCCATTATGTTCTAATGACAGCCTGTCTGCAGGCATACTCACAGGCCCTGCCTTAGTCTGTCTGTCTGAGCCAGTTCATTCACACACACACACACACACACACACACAAAAGGACACTCGGCCATATGCACAAATATACACAAATGAATAATCCTCTGGGGTTCTTACTACTGATGACTTCAGATGCCACGACCTTGGCATGTGGGATTTGTTTTGATTCATGATGGGTAAGAAACTATACCGCTTCCAAATGTTGGCGTGGTATTCCATATACTCCCATGCATATGTATATTTACGCTGAGCTAAGAGAGTCCTAGTAACCTCAGCGTTATTTACCAAACAAGATTCTGTACATGTGCCGTGCTGTAGAAGAAACCCAAGCAGCTTCTGCAGTTGAAATGAACAAATTATTGACCATTTTTAAACAAAATAATAATAATATTCTTTTTTTCTGCTTCCCATTTTATATTTTAGTGATTAATGAGGCTGACAGCTGGGTGTAGCCTCAGGTGCTGAATGTGGCCAGAGCTCTCTGCACCTTAATTATAATCATTTGAGAGGCCTTCTAATTCCTAGATGAATAATAGAAGGAGTGAGGGTACCTGGTTTTCTGATATTTTGCTCCACTGCTCTGCTTTTTGTGTAACTGACACTATTTTAGTTTAATTTCACTGTCAGCGAACTGATCTAAAGTCCATAATTTCACTCAACAGTCTTGTGGATGTGTACATGAAGAATCAATTATTTTATACTCACCAGGGGTGGCATCATGCCCTTGCTGGATGGGGGGATGACGACTCTCAAGTCTGGCTTGCGGCTACCGATGCCCATGTTGCCCCCCGGTGGCGGCGGTGACTTCGCAGGCATGACTTTACCAAGCCCGTTCCCGCTGGGTGTACCCAGAAGCCCCGGCGAGCCCCTTGGGTTAACAAAGCCGTTTCCTGCTGAGACACACATATGGGTGGAAAGCATCACGGGATTGTGCTCTAATCGACCAATCCCCAACAGCCATCAGTCGATCGGACGACATGCCATTTCCCAGCTGCAGTCGTAGCATCTCATAGCACGCAACGTTAAGTGTTCCCGACCCTCTGGGAAAGTTATAATAAGACTCTGGTAATTATCCCACACATTTACAAAAATAAAACATACATTTTGAAATTGATGAGCCTTTGGTTCTGTTGGTGTACAATGGCGTCAAAGCTGTCTTTGTGTGTCCCAGGATGAGGAAAGCAATTCAGTTTAACAAATGTAGTGTGACTTGAGCTCTTTAAGAAGGAATGGCTAAAGTCATTACAACTGAGTGCAGCCATTCACTGCTATCAAAGGCAATTAAAGTGCCATTTTGGAGAAGAAATCTAAAAACTTTGGTGGGGTGTCAATGATATGTTTACATCTGCTGTACTTTGCCATTCCTAGTTCGAAACTGAACTACAGCTACTTTCATTCGGAACCTTCTCCTGCTGAATCTAGTGCAAATGGATACATTTAAAATTTGAATGTTAAATGTTAGCACATGCTGTAATGACCTAAAAAAGCACAATGAGAGGAACCCAGCGTCAGTCTGCAAAACATCAACAACAAATACTGAAAAGTTTGTGTGTGAATGATGTCATCACATGAGAACGAACAGGCTAATCCATCAAGTCTGCACCTGACTGACTTCACACCCGTATACTATATATATTGCAGGTTTCTGGTTTCATGTGAACGTCAGAGCTTTACAAAGATGTCTTTCTACCATCTGCTGGCCCACATTGTTAGCAAGTTCCTTCACACAACCATCTGAAATATTCTCTAACAATCATGGGTCATTTACCCACACAATGTGTAACCTCCAAAGACAAACACAGGAATTACAATTGGCCGACGTTCAAACCAAAGCACAATCACCCCTAAGGTCTCTGTTTCAATGTTTTCTCTCGTCAGTATGAAAAATGCTGAGCAACTAAACAACAACCATCAGGCAAACAAGTGCAATGTCTTTTGGTTTTCAGAAAAGGTCAATTTTATTTCCATTTGCTTGGAACTGTGCATACAGCAAAGTGCAGTGTCATTTCCGTGTGTTTTTCTCCATAACAGCAGCTTGATTAAATGTCAGTCATGGGGCTTTTTCTGCCCCCCACCCAATGCTCATTTCCTGTGGGGGCTTGCTGTGGGACAGCAAGAGAGAAGGCCATCATCAAAGAGACAGAGAGCAGAGACATGCACTTACTGTGTATCTGTTAAAGCACTGCTGAGAGCGACACATACACATAATGCTCACAGCTCAGTATTTAATAAATGCTTTTTATTTCTGGGCTATACCCATAGGAAAGAAAAATCAAAAGAGAGCTCTCTTTAACATCTCAAATATTTCTCCTAGACAGAAATGAGGTTACTTTAAGATTGAGTGGAGATTTTTGCTCGAGTCTCCTGCTTCTCAAACTTGTCTCCTGAGACAGAAACTCTAACACTCTGACAATGGTCTCCTTTAAAGTTTTAGAAGAGATCTCATCATCATCACACACTGTGCTCATATTTTTCTCCTTAGCTACAGACACTGGATCTCTCACATTTGTCTCTTTCAAAGTTTTAGAAGATATCTCAACAATATCACACACTGTGCTTATATTTATCTCCTTAGCTAGAGACTCTGGATCTCTCACATTTGTCTCCTTTAAAGCTTTAGGAGAGATCTCAACAACATCACACACTGTGCTCAGATATTTCTCCTTAGATAAAGACTCTGGTGGTCTCACATTTGTCTCCTTTAAAGCTTTTAGAAGATATAAAAATCTGATCACAGTGTGTAAAGTTGTTGATATCTTTTTTAAAGCTTTAAAGGAGACCATTGTCAGAGTGTTAGAGTTTTTGTCTCAGGAGACAAGTTTGAGAAGCAGGAGACTCAAGCAAAAGTTTCCATTCAATCTTAAGGTAGCCTCATTTCTGTCTAGGAGAAATATTTGAAATGTTAAAGAGATAACCTATGGTTATGGTGCATACATGCAAAAATGGGCTGTACAAAACAAAATTTTAATTATCTTTAAAAAAACTGGTACACTAGTGTTACATTTGGTCTATCTAAAAAATTTAAAAAAAATTAAAAAGTCTTAAATCTTAAATAAATAAAGGTATTGCTCTTATACTAAACATCTTGCACTTGTAAGTCATTTCTAGTGTGTTTGGAAAATGTGGTGTATATACAATGCTGGACATTGAAGAATTGAAACATTTAAACTAGTAACCCTTGATATTCTGAAATGTTTAATGCTATTTAAATGATAGTTTTAGTATTTACAATATTAGTAAAAGTTTAATGTTTCTCCTAAAATAAAACTGAAGACATCTTAAGACAAAGCTGATATCTCAATGAGACATATAAGAGAATCACCCCTTAGTATCCTGAGCGTAGAGTAACCTCTGTCAAAGCCATAGCCTTGTGGGCAGCACATCAACGTGAAGGCACAACTGCACCTCAGACAACATGGGTTTGAATCCCAGCTAAAGGTACTTTCCTGCTTCTGTTCAATTTTCACCTGTCCAATTGTTTCCTGTCTCTACTCCTACTGTCCTGACCATTAAAGGTGAAAA